GATCTCCCCAGCTACTGAGATATCTGGAACTTAAAAAGAACACAAAACCAGATATAAAGATTTGAGTACAGGGCATGCAGTGAAATTTACCTCCAATAAAAAGTTTTTTCACATTTCTTCTAACAGTAATTAACTGCTTTTCTTGTCTGGTACACGAATACGTTCATCAGAAATAACACATGCAAAAAGCAACAAATGTTGGCAGTGATGTGACACTCTTCATCATGCTCCAGCCTGTTAAATGGCACTGAAAATGTTGATGTGGTTGATGTCACTTGTGACCCCTGGGGATCTTCTCTTGTCCACTCAGCAGCGGTTTCTCTCCTAGAAGTGTTCTCAAGTGATCTAGTTACTCATACACAACCCAGGGCCTTCTGGTTCCATGGACACATCAAGACTTTCCATGCCATTTGGGATTTTTCTGGTGGTAACACCAACCGCCAACCACTGCTCAGATGGGAACACGCTGGAACAGAGATGGAATCCAGAGTGGTCCTGACCTGGCATGAACTCTATCTCTGCCAATAGTGTGAGATCTGAGAAGGTCACAGGTTTTGTAATGTAGGTTGGTGGGCAAAGGCAGGGGAAGTGGCAAAGGGGAGGGGATTCCTCCAAGACTTATTTGCTGATTAAATTTTCACTTCCTTATCACATTCTCCTTTTGTACTCCCTTGCTGCCTTCCTCTCTTCCATTTCAGGTCCAGTTAGGAATGGGATGCAGAGACTTGGGATGTTCTGCTTCACACCAGAGGTGATACTTCACCAGCTCCGAGTATACCCGAGGGGTAAATATTAGCAGGAAAAAAGCCTGCCACAGCTAAACCTTAATCTCACACACTGCTCTGGGGGCTAGCTTGATTTTCAGAGGCCTGTGCAATGCTTTGAAGATCTCCGCAGTGCCACTTGCACACAGCAAGCCAAAACAAAGTTCTGTGGGTAGTCTCAAAGACATACCTGTCCAAGCTAGCTCTGCTACTCCTGCCACACCTCTCAGAGTTGAATGATCTCGGGGCAGGGGGGCAGAAGGGAGTGGAATTGTGGTGGCCATAAGAACTGCCTACATGGTCACTTGAATGTGATGAACAGTTTCAACTGAAAACAACCCATCTTCAAGCATTCAAAGCATTTCATTGCAAACAGCTTTTCCTTTTGAAGTTTCCTTACAATTTCAGAAATAAAATAACCACATCTAAAACAAAGACTCATTCCCCAACCAAAAGTTTATCACAAAACTACATAAAACATCAATTTAGGGCTCAGTGAATTGTGTGTTTCAGCCTTGAATGATTTTGCTCTCCAGTTCCCGTTTTGATAAGAAAACAGAAATGTTGGTTAAGTTTGACCTAGATATACTTATGAGTTTGGATGGCTGGGTTTTATTTCTTTCAGCTCAGCCACCAGGTTGAAAAACAGTCATACACAGCTTAGCCCAGAGCACTCCCCAGCTCTGAGGCTGATTGCATAACAAACTTTGCAAAACACAGCCATGAGGTAGGAACATGCAGCAGTGGGTAATGCCAGGTTTCAGGAAGCCTGTACCAGCTCTGTGTTCTGCTGAGCTTTTTCAGACTTTGCATTATGCCCTACTGGTTCCTGGTTAGTTTGTGCACTCTGCTGACTCTGGAGTTGTATTAACCTGATTCTTCCTCTAGGGTACTTTGGGTTATGTCATCTTTTCCTTCCTCTCACTTCCCTCCATCCTCTTACTTTGAGGGATACTTCACCTCTTTACTTTTTGATGAAGTGTTCTCATAGTTTCTGCCTGTGAAACACAGCTACAGACTCCTTGGGCTTGAAAGATGGTTGTAGGACAGGGAAAGGAGTGCACTAGAACAAAAGCTTGTTGCCTCATGGCAATAGGTGGGTGCTCAGTACTCCCTAGGCAAGAGAGCCATAGATGAGAGCACCCTAGAGACCTGCCAGTGGGTCAGGAATAGGAGCAGCTCCTGTGGACTGGCCTCCCTCCAGGCAGTGGGGTTTCCTCCTCACCACCCTGCTCCTTTCAGGCACCCAGCACCGAGTATACACAGGCAAGATTTCCAAGGAGAATGTTAAGGTCACTTGCCAGGCAGAGGGAGCAAAGCATCATTGAGGAGGGGAAGGGCTCCCTCTTCACCTTCACAGCATAGAAGTTGAGGACCACTCTCAGAAGAGGGCAGGGGCAGAAGTCTCAGGTGTTTTAGCTCCGGGCAGGATTCCAAACCAACCACTTCCCCCTCCCCTCCTGAGAAATACTGGGAAAGGATTTGGGCAAACAAGAGCCAAAGCAGCACATCTTTTTAGTTGAAAAACTCCTAAGGAATAGTAGTAAGGGAACTTACTAAGGCAATATGCATGGAGGCTGAGAGAAATGGTCATTTCCACTCAAATAAGAGAGAAAATCATGGGTGCCAGGCTAGCCAGAAAGGTTGCAGGTCAGAAGTTGGGGACCTTCCAGGATGTAGTCTGAGGCTGTGACAGAGTAAGAAACAGAAAACCTGCAGGGTAAAGGTAAAATCCAAACCAGATACTTAGTTCTATAGTCTTTATTTTAAAAACAGGAAACAACCACATTAATAGGCATATAAAACCAATCCAAAATATTCACAACGCTGTTACAGAAAAGGAAAATACAGAGAGATGCCATGTGAGAAAGACCTACACATTTCAGGCCAAGCCAACACACATCTCTGATGCAAAGTATGGAATGCTCTTATGCACAGCTGTAAGGGGAATTTCCTAACATATAGATACCCACATAGAAATATCATGTCTGGAAGTGCTGGAGGGTCAAAGGAAGGGCACAAAAATCTCTATAACCGAGACAAATTGTGAAAGTTGGGAAAGAAGTCATATATAATACTTCTGAGAATAAGTATCTGGCATGGAAGCCCAATAGAAAGCTAGGGAAAACTGGATGTAATCAGATTGCATTGTGCAAAGCTGCAGTATTTCAAATGAAGTCACAAGAAGTATTTCACAGCAGCAAATTTTACTGATCTTTGCAACCGTTTCTCATTAGGGAAGGTAGGAATGTCATCACTCTAGTTACTGAAAATGCCAAATGCACACCCCCAGAATATATATCAATGGGAAATTCTCTGAGCTGCTCTGAAGCAGTATATTGTCAAGAAAGCTTGGGCTATCCACGCTATGACAATTTTGTTGTCATTCCTGCCTTTCTGAGCCTTTCTTCCTTTTACACAACTAGGAATCTGTGGGCCTGCCTCTCTTCTAAGATATCCAGCGAGGAACTCCAGCATGACTTTGCAGGTAGACCTGAGTTTGATCAAGTCCGAAGATGCAGATCTTAGAGCAGGAGTTTAAATCAGACCTACCTCTGTGCTACCTTTAGATAGCTTGTGCAGGTCTGGACAGACACAGGCCTGGAATCTCTCTTGACAGAGCAGTCAGTGAAGCAAAGCTCCCACCCCTCGATTGCAAGTATACCATCTGTGCTACTTTTTGCCTTCCTGAACTGTGCTAGCTGGGCAACAAGGGTAGGTGTATACATACTCTCCATTGCCTAGCAGTATGACAAGCAAGGAAGACCGGTGTTTACTGATGTACAGCTACTGTCTGCCATATCACTTTTAAACAGAGGCACTATTACAGAGCTGTACACATCTACACAGCATCCTGCGTGCTGGTGAGCATCACAACAACATCATGCAGATCTTCCAGAGAGGACACATGGGGCAAAAACATTTGGCCTGCAACCAAGCAGTGGGCTGAGCACTACAGACCTTTCACACAGCTAAGCCAGCAAGTTCCAGCAGCTCTGGTCTCTAGTTCTGCATCTCTACCTTTACGAGCTTACACATGCCATAACTGACCATGCCTGTGTCCAGAAGGGTCATGCTACATACCTCTGCCTAATATTTATAACTGCTAGGAAAAATACAGCTTTGGAAAAAAATTTTTATCCTCACACAACTTTAAGTAACAATCTACAAATTGCAGACTTCCTGACCTACTAGAATACAGCAGAGAAGGGAAAAAAAAAAAATCAAGATAAGACAGGAAAAGTTACTTTCTGGTTTGCAATCAGCACCCTCAATCATCCCATACAATGCTTAACCATGACAGAAAATATAAACTAACACCACCCATTTGCTGCAATACCACACTTTCCAATCAGCACTTGGGAACAATATTTAAAATTGCCACCCAAAAAATCCCAAATAACAGAGATTTTGGTGGACAAACAAACATACTTCTTCTCACTAGTATGCAATTCTTTGAATTTCTTTCCAGAGGGCACAAATAACTTAAAGGTGATGTGCACAATTGGCTCTGTCGTACATACCATCCAAAATACCCAGTCTCCCGTTTAGTACGGCATTTCTCCTTTACAGTCTTATTGCACCTCCAGTCTACAGCATCTTTTGTTAGATTAGCTATTTCTCTTAAACATCTTCAATTTCATTATCTGTACACCATTAAAAAAATAAATATTTACAAAGTGACATACAAATAAATAAAGTAAAAGTATGCTTTCAAGTCTGTCTATACAAAAAAAATAAAAGAGCAGGAAAAAATATGCATGTAACTTGGTCCCCTTTTTCCTGAGGCTGAAAATAGTGCACACTGGATAGGAAAAAGCAAGGAGATGGCTTTTTGTTAGGCTTGTTAAATCCCAGTGTAACACTGCACACACGCACACAGAGTAGACTCAAAGGGCTGGGGACTTGTTTAGTGGGTCACTTCAACTCGCTACAAAAATATTAGATTCAAATATGTAACGGTCACTGTGTGCATAAGTATGTTAACCCCAAATAGCAATTATAGGTGAGAAAAGCAAAAATATTGCCAGCTCTTCTCTGTTCTCCTGATGTTTGTGACAAGGAAGATGAGATTACTTTTGGAAGTGCCAGGTGCTTTCCAGTACTTGAAAACAGGATCACCCATATCAGATTTGCTTAATACTGGTAAGCCTGGCAGAATGGGCAAGTATGTGGGTGCAAAGAAGAAAATAGCAGCAATTGAGGCGGGGGGAAAAAATGTCCCAGTTCTCATGGTTTTCTTTGCTCATTCCTTTAATGACTCTTTAAGCATGTCAGAGTCGAAGAAGGGGTGTGTCATGAATCTTAGGCAACTTCTTTGTCAGGCTGTATGCTGTTCAGCTCCACCATGGGGTTCTTCTCCACAGGTGATGAGGGGCTGGCTTCTGCTCGTCCTTCAAAGCCCCTGGAGATGTCTTCAAAAGTCCTGCCCTTGGTCTCTGGCACTTTGAAGAATGTGAAGACAAAGAAGATGACCAGGAAAACAAGGAAGATGAGGAAGACATAGGAGCCACATAGTTTCTGCAGGGAGGACAAAAGCAGGAAGTTTTAATTTGAAAAGCTTATAAACATAAATGCAAGGTCATTTGCTGTTGACAGGTCAAAATTCCAACACCTTTCTCCAACAACGCCCTTACTGACTTTTTTTTCCTCAACACAGCCACTTTTTTAAAAAGAAATCAGGTTCCTGTGGGCTTCTGAAATGTTTTAATGTTCCTGGGGGTGACCAAAATTGAGGCTTTTAATTAGCACATCAAGGCTTTCCCTTTAAGATGACTCCTACAACTATTTGTAAGCTACAAGCAGTTAAAACAGAAGAGTACAAGGTGAGCCACAAGACTCTTAACCTTCATGAATAATCAGAACACAGATTCTGAGACCTCTGGAAGACTGACCGGCCCTCTGCTCAAAGCAGGGGCAACTTTAAGGAGAGATCAGGTTGTTAAGGGTCATGTTTTGAAGTCTCCAAGGATGGAGATTCTACAACCACTCTGGACACCTATTCCAATGCTGCAGCACTCTCACAGTGCTTTGCAAACTTGGTCCTTACCTCTGCATAGGGGAAGAGCATTCCCACCAAGAAATTAGAGGTCCAGTTGGAACAACCAGCTACTGCCATGGCTGCAGGCCGTGGGCCCTGGCTGAAGAGTTCTGCCACGATGAACCAGGGGATAGGGCCGGGGCCAATCTCAAAAAGAGCCACAAAGCCAAAAGTGGCAACAATGCTGATGTATCTGATCCACTCCACAGTGTCCTGCAAGGGAACAAAACATGATCAGCTGCAATTTGAGGCAAACATGGCACAGCATAATGCCATCTCCAGTGTCACAACTTTCTCAGCCACACTGTGGCACAGATTCTGCAGTTAGGAAGTTGCGCTCTCCACTGCACACTCAGCTCTAGCCCCAGCCGTACCTGCCTACAGGGTAGAATTGCAGGACAAGGCAGATGTATAGTCTTATAGGTCCCCTGCTGGGGTCAGCCTGGACAAGAACACTAATTACTCACCTTCAGAGCTAAAGCGATGGTCATAAGAACAGCACACACAGCCATGCCACCCAAACCAACTAAATGGAGGGTCCTGCGCCCTGCACGCTCCACCAGGAACAGCTGGAAACATGGCAGAAGGAGAAAAAAATCCATGACTTTGCAAGCAAGAGCAGAAGAGGCTCCCTTGCTCAAGTGTGCCCTGCACCTCTTTATTTTCTCTGCCTATAGCCCTCAGTGCCAGTGGTGATCTCATTGCAGGTCACCAGGCTGCTCCATCCTTCGCACAAGTTTTTGCTCTCTGGTTCTTGCTACTGCCTTCTCTCATCATTCTTTTCCCCCATGCACTCCTTTTCACCATCCCTTCTAAAAGGATAATACCTCTTTCTTCCCTCCTCTCCTCCCACAATGCTTTTAATGCATTCTTTTCTTTGCTCTTACAGGTCGTTGCCTAGCCCAACACTTTGCCACAGCCTGGCTACTTGTCTTCAGCCACATTTACCAAAAAAGGCCAGGCAGACAAGTCACCTCTCACCATAAGGCCCTGTTCCACTTACCGACACAACAGTGAAGATTGTGTTTACCACACCAGCTCCAATGGTGGCATACACAGGCTGTGTAATACCAGCTCTTTCAAAAATCCCTGTAGAATAATAGAATACCTGGGAAGAGAAGCAAAAGTTGGACACAGTCACAATTCCAGTGTTTGAGAGCATGCCTCTTGTTCCCTGCCTAATGGCTTGCAGGCCCATCAGGGAGTTTCTAAGAAGCAGTATAAAACAGCATGCTTCCAGTCAAGGTTTGTTCACTTGAACCGTGTGTGTGGGAAAAGTGAAAGCCGATGTAATCTCCACTTTAGCAATCTCTGCAGTCATCACAAAACAGTGACCTCCAGTCAAGGCACAATAAGGGGTTTTTGGAAGCACAGTTCTCTCAACATTAGTGGCAAGTGCAAGTGTAGCCAGAGATAAGGGAGGCCCAGCAGATGGGACAGGAAGGTAACTCACAGCATTGATGCCTGAGAGCTGTTGGGAGAGCTGCAGCATGATGGCAATGATAATGGCTTGACGGTAGTTTGGAGAACGGAAGAGCTCTGGCACAGTTGTTTTCTTTTCCTGGGACATTTTAGCACTCTCTTCTTTCATCTCCAGGATGTCTTGAGACACATCTTGTGTACCACGGAGCTTCTGAAGAACTGGAGGGAGGAATAATAAAAAAAAATGCCAGGTATAATACGCACACAGCAGCCAGTGGGTTCCCCCTAGCCTGCTCTTCTCTTTCAGGGAGGGCACACTGGGACAACTGGACTACCTGCCAATCAGTGTTTGGGCCTGCTGCATGAGGAAGACCAAGCCTCTACAAGCAGCCTTGCTCATCCTTTCAACCCAGAGGTCAGGGTGCTGTGATCAGCATGGAAACCAGGCCCAGGTCCTGCTCATATTGCTTGATATCCAAACTTACATTTGATCCCCAATTCTGTTCACACATTTGCCAGAGCTGACTCCAGCCCTCTGCAGCAGGAGAGGGAAACACTGTCCAAGCCCCCTGTTAAATGCCGGCCTATTTCCTGCCTTTCAGGAGGAGCTGACAGAGCTGCAGCAGCTGGCCCTGCTACGTCCCACAAGGCCAGGTGCCACTCCTCACATCTTAATCCTACCCAGAGTCTCTGTCAGGATGCCAGGTTTCTCATACTTCCTGGCACTGGTGCAAGCTAAAGGATGGGAGGGTAGGCCTGGTGCCCTCCAGGAGTCACACCCTGATCCATCACAGGCTCCAGAGTCAGTCCTGGCTTCCCACTCAATTTCAGTGCAGGCTGGCAGCCCAAATACAGCCCTGCCCCATCAGAGATGAGTTCTTACCTGCTTGCGCTTTCTCTTCCTCCATCTTGTTGATCAATAGGAAACGGGGGCTCTCAGGGCAGAAAAGAAGAGCCACGCACTGCAGGATTGCTGGGAGGACAGTGAACCCCAAAAGCAGTGGCCAAAGTGCTTCAGTCCCCATGATTCCCTCCAGGCCAAAGATCTACACCAAGAATTGGAGAGAAACAGAGTGATTTAAATACTCCGATTCCTTACCACCACACCAGTGAGTAGGACAGGACCACATACTGCACCTGATAGCAAGTGCAGCCCACCTTGCCCTCCCCCAGCCCCCCTTTCCCCTGAGGGCAGGATCAGGTGGTGTCAAGCCTACCTGGGCCACCAGGATGCCAACAACAATGCCCAGCTGGTTGAGAGTGCCAAAGGCTCCACGGAGGCTGGTGGGTGAGACCTCACTGATGTACATGGGCACAAAGCCAGTGCAGAGACCACAGAAGAGGCCAATAATGAAGCGACCAATGATCAGCATCTCCACTGCCTTTGCCATTTTAGAGAAGGCCATGAGAGTGCCACCCACAAAGGCCAAGATGTTCACCAGTAGCATGGAGTTCCTCCTGCCAGGGTAAAGATGTCAAGACTGATCTTAAATTGGCAATACATTTGGAAAATCATTGGGAGAGGGGTAAGCCTACCCATGATCCCCCATCTCAGGGTTGGGAGAACAGACTAATTCCCATTCAGCTCCTGCCTTGGCCTGCAACCCTTTCTTTTTGCAGCCCACACATTCTTGCTTCGTCCCCAGCCTCCCCCCTTCCTCACACCTCTGCCCTCTTCCTCTCAACACTCCATTGTAGAACGGAAAGATTCCCTAATGGCTTGGATCCCTCTTCCCAACTTACCTGCCAAATCTGTTGACGAACAGGCTGACTGAGAAGGAGCCAATCATACCTCCTACAGAGAAGATGGCCACAGAAAGGGACCACAGAGAGGTGAGGAGCTCTGAGGAGACAACCTGCCCACTCCGTTCTGACAAGGTTCTGTTGAAGAACCTCTGGATAATCTGCAAGAGAAACCAGGTGGGGACAGAGTTACAAACCAGCAGGAGGCATTTTGCCTGGGGAGAGGGGAAATTACTTCTGAGGTCTTCCTTCTGTTTTCATGAAGGCAAGAAGCAAGTATAGACCCTAAAGATTCAGCAGGCAGCAACAAGTCATACAAGAGGAATATGAGGGTGCAGAAAGAGGAACAGTCATTGAGAAGTTCAGTAGATGGGTAGCAGTATGACGAGGGCGAGATTGCTTCACTGAACATGGGGGAGTGGGCCAGTGATGATTAAGGAAAACAGGCTTATCTTCTGAATGTTTCTGGATGATGTGAGCACTGGTGGTCCTTCAGGGGCAGGTGCAAGACTGTTGGGAGTGAGAGGGAGCAAGAAAAGTGACCAGAGGATGGAAGGGAACATTTCTGGCAATACCAGAACTCTGGCAGCAGGGACAGGCTTTCTGGGACAGAAATAGTTTGAGAGAGACAGAAAGTTTCACTGAGGCAAGCCTGAAAGACTGCAGCATTATGTAAAACAATCCTTCATTGTCCCACGGGGATGTGACAGGGCTGTGTTGATGATTTCCAAGGCATCCTCTTTGATAACGAGGGAAATTCTGCAAGGGCTGAGGGGGACATGGCCTCAGAGTGTCTGCCCCCAGCAGATGGCAGCAGGACATTAGCTAGGGAGGACCCTCCCCCCCGGTCCCCCCCCCCCATTGCATGATGTGACATCTATTCCCGGAGACAGGGTGGATGTGGTATTGGTGACTCAGTTCCTGAGAGAGAGGAACCATCTTATAGTTACAAGAAAACCACATTTCTTGTTTTCTTCATCTCCCCTCTTCTTTCTTAGGCTACAGTCACAAGATAATTTGGTCAGAGTGCCCCAGTCACAACTCTTTTACAAGTACTGAACCTAGACTTAACACAAGAAATTAATAAACAAATAAAATAAACAAGTCTGAGATGGTCCCTGAGATAAACTAGACTAGAGCAACTGCAATCCCTAGCAACCCTCAACTATTTTCTGCACACTGCTCTTTACATTCCTTCTACCATGGCTGGTTTATTCTGACTCAGAACTAAAGTGGCTCACATTCCTCCATGCACCCAATATAGACCTACCAGGAAATGACAGATGGACCCCTCCTGCCCTAGCCAACCCTCTGTACTCCTAATTAAGAGAATTAACCTCTCTGCTCACTCTCTCACTCTCCTCCCCAAAACTTTGCCCTTCATGTTCATTGTTGCAGTGGAGAGGGGGTTTTGAATGTCTTCTTTCCTTGACTTCATAAACCAGAACCAAATTGTTAGCTGCTTGGGAGACAGCTCCTCTCCTTTCTATACCTTTGTTTTCTCATCAGCCCCTCACTCATACCATCTCCCAAACTCATTCTTCCTCTTACCTTCTCGGGAGCATTGATAACACCAGTGTTGTACCCAAATTGGAGAGAACCAATGGCAGCAATGGAAACAGCACAGAGAAGGGGTGCTGTGATTTTCTGTGGAAAGATAGAGAAAACAATTGTTTAGTTAGTGTGGTCATTCATGCTTTCTACACAAATTGAGTTTCTCTTCAGCATAAACATCAGCTGCAGCTCATAGGTGCCATGTGCAAGCATGCCAAGGGCAGGGAATGGGCTTTTATCCAGCAAGGGTGGGTACCCATAGCAGAGACCCTGAAAAGGGAGATGCAACTGTACAGCAGGAAAAATTTCTGTGACTAGAAGTAGGGGGGGCTGTCAGGACCTCCCCTTTATTATCTCCTGACCTTCATTGACTATTCTCAGCTCATTAGTAATGAATACACTGGCTGCATTAGTGGCTGTTATTTTGGGTTGATCTGCTTTACAGAAAAGCTTTTGCTGATCTCTGGCATGTCATGAAACAAGGGTCTGACTCTTCCCCAATGCCAACTGACAAGTTCCCATAAACTGAGCATCAGATCTGCCCATGAGCTATACTGGCAGTCACTCCCAACAGCTAAACATGCACTCTTCAGCAACAGGCCTGCTTTTCCCAGGCTAGAGCTTCCCAACCCTGCCCCCGGGCACCTGGCATGGCAGCCTGCCTCACAGAGGCAGTGGCAGTGCTGCCAACCTTCTTATTTATTTTTCTTGATGCTGTGGCAATAATTAGTATTTGAAATGAAGCACTGTCCGTGGCATGAGTATATGTGAATCTCTATTTATTAAAATAAAAAACTGCTGAGCCCTCAGAGCCATAGAAGAAGCTTGAAGGTCCAGCCTCAGAAGTCTCAGAGAGAAATTTAAGTGTCAATGAAAAGCATCTGACATTTTTGACATTTTTAAAGCTTGTGGCATTTAAGCCAGCTCTGTGTTAGGGAGGCAGCAGGGAGCAGGTGACTCAGGAGTTGGCACTTAGATGGCCTGAGCTCGAGTTGGCACAATTGGGAAAAATCATGTTTCGGTCTCAGGAGGGATTGGAAGCTTTTCCAAAAATATTAACAGTCCCTTTTCCAAGGCTTTCCAATTGTTGTCCTATGGCTGGCAGGGGAGAGAAAAGTACACCGTGAGGCCTGCTGTCACAGCCCTTCCAGTCTCTCATTTTCCGGCTCAGCTCCAGGAGCAAGGGCTCCCAAGGGTGCCCAAAATTTTTACCAATATAACCTTCTGCCAGTGCTCACAATCGCCTTTACCAATCTTTCAAGCCAAGCGTCTGGCCTGCACAACCCTCACACAGCTACAAGTTAGGCCCCAGTAAGCAGAAACTGGGGAAATTACTTTCAAGCCTGGTTTCCCCCACCTACATCACATAAATGTCTCAGGCTGAACTCTTCATGCTGAGGTTAGTCA